ATTTTTAAAATAAAGTTAACCCTTAAGGGTAACAAAAATAAAATACAGACAGTACAAATGCACTGTCTGTAACAGATATGGCAGGGAAGGGGTTAAAAGGGGATTTTTATTCACTGCTGATACTTTTTTATTCACACTGAAAACTCTGGAACACTTCTGCTGCAACAATATATCACGATCTCTGTCTCTCTCGCCTCACAAAACGCTACAGAGGGGAGAGAGGCAGAGATCAGTGTCAAAGTGAGTGTTTGTAACACCCACTTTGACACCAGCCAATTGTGAGCGATCGTGGATCGCTCACACACCGCAATTGGCTGTTACTATCTGCCTGGGATGCCGGGCTGATCGTAACAACGGGATTTCGGCGGAAGTGATCTCCGATCGCTTCCGCCGCCCGTTTTCCGTTAGGACGGTTCAGGACCATCCTCGGTCGGCAATGCAAAAATGCAGAGGACGGTCCTGAAGGGGTTAAACACATTATATTTATATATATATATATATATATATATATATATATATATATACACAGTGAGGGGGGAAAGTATTTGATGCCCTGCTGACTTTGAACGTTTGCCCACTGACAAAGAAATTATTACTCTATAATTTTATTGGTATCTTGTGTATTGTATAAATTGGCAGTCAGCAGCACCCAATTTATGCATGTTCAGGTGAGTGGAGCCAATCCCCCCTTGTTTCATATATATATATTTGGGAGTCTAGCCAACTCCTTGGTTTTGCAACCCTCCCTGTCACAGGTGCCTCATTCCAGGACCTATTCAGCCTTGTACTACAGAGAGTCCCAGATGGAATTTTTTTCCCCAAGTAAGTGGAGCAGACATTAAGCTGTTAGAGTAGGACCTGCTAAAGATGGTGTACATTGATGTTGTGGCAGGCTTATGAAATGTATGATCATATAATGTAACTAATCCCATATTATATTTTCCTAGATTAGGTATTTAAAAAAAAAAAAACTAATAAAATCTGTCAACATTAGTGGATAAATGAGTGTGCTGGATCCTGTGTATTGTGTATGTGTATATATATATAAAATGTGATTCTTTGTTGAACTAATTTGAATATGCCCACCCAGAATCCTTTGTGGTAGTAACATCTCTGCAGATATGTGATTTCTGTGGGAAAAGCAAATCTTATGGCTTGACTGGTGTGCAGATTTTTGTTTAACATTGTATTAACTATCCACAGACTTCAGGTGGTAGGGGTTTTCAATCACAATTTTTCCTTGCCATTACCCACCATTAATTTGGATTTTATATATATATATACAGTGAGGATAAAAAGTATTTGATATTTTTATATATATACACTTTATATATACAGTGAGGATAAAAAGTATTTGATATTTTTATATATATATATATATATATATATATATATATATTTTTTTTTTAATTCTTTATTTTTGCAGTGCAGGTGATAATAGGCATGTTTATGGTGCCACAACAGCATCATCAAGCAGAATTAGTTAAGACATTTTGGTACATAGGTATGGCAGGTTATTACTGTGCACTATATTTTATGGAATAGAATGTGATAACATGCTTAAGAATCAACTTGTAGATAACATAGAAAAACATACTTTGCTTATTTTTAGTTGTAATAGAGTGATATAGTGTATAGCTGTGAATAGTCATGTTGTGGGACAGTGTCATAGTGTAGTGAGCTATATAAGTTGTATGAACTTAACATGAGTAGGACTGGTGTAGACAATCATAGTTGAACTGCTTGAATGATAGTTATTAGCTGGGTTACATGCTAGAAAAGACTGCTCAACTGTTGCGGCTCCCGGCCCACCGCATGGCGCAGCCATGCCCGACGGCACAACCTCGCCGATATTGCGAGCTTACCTGCTCGCCGGTGAGCCGGGAACCGCTCCTCCGCGTCTTCTGGGCGTAGCGTCCAAATCAAAGATGGCGCTGACCACGTGGTCGCGCACACCACAAGCCCCGCCCCTTAAATTTATATGGACGTGCGCCTGACATCACAACGTCAACGCACGCGCTCGTTCTGGTGTCAGAGGTCACCCTCTGACCAATCAGAGCCCAGAGAGGGATATTTAAATCCCTAATTCACTCCAGTTCCTTGCCCTGTTGTGGTTTCCTGTTCCTGGTTCCCTAGAGTGCGTTTATCTTTGTGAATATTACTTCCTTGTATCCTGACCTTGGCTTTTCCCTGGTTATTCCGAATTCTGGTTCCCCTGACTTGGCTTGTTTAAATGGTATCTGAGTATTTCTGGCTTCCTTGACCTCGGCTTTCCCTTTGACCATTCTCTATCTCTAGCGTATTAGTCCGGCCATTCTAAGGTCCGGTTTACGCTGTGTCCTTTTATTTCCTTTCCTTTTTTATGTATATGTTTACATAGTTTCTGCGTGTTGGACCACACTAGCAGCCGTGACATTACGACAGGGCCATGGATCCTGCGGAACTATGCAAACATATGATTGCTTATGAGAGTAGGGTGGAGGATATGGACCACAGGTTAGATCAATTTGCCCAAGCCTTCCAGACCTTGCTCCAGAGAACTTCTTATCTGGAGGCACCTCCGGTACCGCCTGTGGCTCCGCCACCTGTAGTAGCACCTGTGGCACACAAACCACCGTCCATAACCCTTTCAACTCCCCCTCGTTTTGGAGGTGATTGACAGAGGTACCCAATTTATTTCTAGGTTCTGACGTGCCTTTTGTAAGCAATTGGGTATAGAACTTTCATTTTCCTCAGCGTATCCCCCTAAGACTAATGGCGCAGCACAGAGGTCTAATCAGTCTTTAGAATCTTATTTACTTTGTTTTATCGATGCCAATCAGTCTAACTGGTACAAACTCTTACCCATGGCTGAGTTTGCTGGAAATAATGCGACTCACGAATCCTCTAATCATAGTCCATTTTTTGTAAATCAGGGTTATCACTCCACTGTTTTACCTTCTGTTTTACCTTATTTTCAGACACTGATATTCCTGCCTTGAACACCCGTTTGGATTCTATTCATGACATTTGGGATTCCGTTCATACAGCATTACAGAAGGCATCAAAACATGCTAAAACCAAGCTGACAAGAGACGGGATGCCAATCTTGTCTATCAACCAGGAGACAAGGTGTGGTTATCCACACGTCATGTCAAACGTAAGGTTCCTTCCATGAAATTTGCCCCTCGGTACATAGGTCCTTTTCGGGTCCTCCGTCGTATCAACCCTGTGACTTATTCATTGGCACTTCCTGCTCACATGAGAATTGCCAATTCATTTCATGTGTCCTTGCTTAAGCCTCTTACTTGCAATCGATACACTAAAGTGGCTGCCCCTCCTCCGCCCTTGGTAGTGGGTGATCAGGAGTACGAGGTTTGTTCTATATTGGACTCCAAAATCTCCAGGGGTATTTTGTCTTATCTAGTTGACTGGAAAGTATATGGTCCTGAGAAACGTTGTTGGGTTCCTGCTGAACAGGTTCATGCGCCCCGTCTTAGCCGGTCATTTCACAACCGCTTCCCTCATAAGCCGGCTCCTTCCTGCCCGGTGAGCGATATTCGAGTGGGGGGTACTGTTGCGGCTCCCGGCCTGCCACATTGCATAGCTGTGCCCGACCGGCACGACCTCGCCAATATTGCGAGTTTACCTGCTTGCCGGGAACCGTTCCTTCGCATCTTCTGGGCGTTGCGCCCAAATCAAAGATGGCACTGACCATGTGGTCGCGCACACCACAAGCTCCACCCCTTACATTTATACGGACGTGCGCGTGACGTCACAACGTCAATGCACGCTCTGGGGTCAGAGGTCACCCTCTGACCAATCAGAGCCCAGAGAGGGATATTTAAATCCCTAATTCACTCCAGTTCCTTGCCCTGCCGTGGTTTCCTGTTCCTGGTTCCCTAGAGTGCGCTTATCTTTGTGAATATTACTTCCTGGTATCCTGATCTTGGCTTGTTTAAATGGTATCTGAGTATTTCTGGCTTCCTTGACCTTGGCTTTCCCTTTGACCATTCTCTATCTCTAGCGTATTAGTCCGGCCATTCTAAGGTCCGGTTTACGCTCTGTCCTTTTATTTCCTTTCCTTTTTTATGTATATGTTTACATAGTTTCTGTGTGTTGGACCACACTAGCAGCCGTGACATCAACTGCCTGTTAAATATTTCACATCTGGCATCGTTTAAACACTAGCTGTATGGTTGCTTGCTAGATAAGTTAGGGTATGGTATGAACCTCCTGGGGTCCAGCCCAAGTTCTGCAGATACATTACTATTTCAAATGTGTAGCTAAGTCAATTGTGAGGCAGTTATAACAAATTAAGACAAATTAACATCTGAAGTGGGTAACAGGCCTAATGGAAAGCTTAACTAGTGGCTGGGAGGGTCGTGTTCTCGGCCTCTGTGGAGCAGTCCGCCTTCTCAGCACGATTTTCATCCGATTCCTTGGTTGGGCAATGCTGGTATGGTGTGATTGAGTCCATCAGAGGTGGCCCAGCGGCAGGCCGCATGTGAGGTGCGCTCTCGTTCTGGGCCCTGCTTGTAGCCAGCTGTGCTCGATACAGGACACGGTATAGAGGTGGCAGTTCGTCGGGGGCGAGGTAAGTCCTCCCTCCAGCCCCAGGCCGGTGTGAAGGCCGACATCCTTAAACCACGGACCCGGTCTTCTCTGTGGGCCGGGTCTTTCCCTTGGTGGTAGGATCGGGGGAACATGATGGTCTGCCGCCGTCTGTGGCGACCATCTCTTCGTCCGTGTGGGTGACGTCTTCGGGTCAAGCCCTTGGTGGCCCTCGGCCAAGGTCGGCTAGTAATGAGGGGTGCAGGCCTTTCTGATTGTGTTAGGCCCGAGGGGGACCTCTGCTGTATGGTCTCCCAATGCTCTTTTGTCTAACTTGAGGCTGGGGTGGATGTAGTGGTTGGTGATTCTCCAGGGCAATCCAGAGTTGTCGAAAGTGCTCAGTCACTCGCTGTAGCATGCAGTCTACCGAGTCAAGGGCTGGATCGAATTGCTTGTGCGCCGTCTCTTCAGGCCATGTTTCGGTCGACATCTTGGATTAGCTCTCCTTGTGTAGTTGGGCCCCGTTTCAGGTTTAGGCAGTCGAGGAAGGACCGGGATGAGAGTGGGTTGGAGAGTGCGTGGTCTCGTGAGTTACCGGTGAGCGGGAAGATCGTCTGCTTCTTCCCTACCCCAGTATTATAGGCTGCAGCGGTGTCCCTCCTGTCTCCAGTGATCAAGCTGTTTGGTGGAATCTCGAGGTATGTCGCTTGGACCTCTCTGGGCTTTATGTCGCCCATCAGTGGGTTTAATCTCTTGTTTGCCAGGGTACAAACTTCTTTATTCACTGTTACAGCAGGAGCTCTGGAAACACACGTCTGCTCCTCTTGACAGCTAGGCTCCGTCCCCTAGTAGGTGTATTTTAACAACCAGAAAAACGCATTTAAAAAAAGTTATAAATTGATTTGCATGTCAATGAGTGAAATAAGTATTTGACCCCTTCGATTTAGTACTTAGTGGCAAAACCCTTGTTGGCAATCACAGAGGTCAGACATTTGTTGTAGTTAGCCATCAGGTTTGCACACTGTCAGGGACCAGGAACCAGACAGAGACAGAACTAGATGCAAACACACCTTTATTAATAAATAACAAATAAATAACAAAAGCAAAGTCCAGGAATCAAGCAGGGGTCAGTCACCAGAGCGGGTAGTCAGACAAGCCAGGATCAGGAGCACGGAGAGCAGCGGAGTCAGGAACAAGGCCGGAGTCAGGAACCAGGAGCAAACAGGAAACACAGGAACAAGGAGACTTCTGGGGAACAGGAAACCACGCAAGGGCAAGGAGGTTCTGGGATTTGCTGCTTAAATAGGCAGCACTGATTAGCAGCAGGGTTGATTACTACTCTCAGGTGAGTAACCGTGGCAACATGCAAAAGGAGCTGATAGTAACTGCAGCTGAAAACTCTTTCACTGAAACAGAAAGGGTTGCTGTTTAAAACAGCAAAGAAACCCTGACAGTACCTCCCCCTCAACGACTCCCCCCATCTCTGCTGGTGGGTCCGGGCTTCATGGGGAAGCGGGCGTGAAAGGAACGAAGGAGGGATGGTGCATGGACATCAGAGGCTGGAACCCAGGAGCGTTCCTCTGGACCGTATCCTTTCCAGTGCACCAAGTATTGGATCTGTCCTCTGAAGACTCGTGAGTCAATGATGCTGCGTATTTCATATTCCTCATGATTGTCAACCAGAACAGGACGTGGACGTGGCACTGAGGTGGTGTAGCGATTACAAACCAACGGTTTCAAGAGGAAAACATGGAAAACATTTGAGATGCGCATGTTAGCAGGAAGGTCAAGTGCGTAAGCTACAGGGTTAACCCTTCGAAGAATACGAAATGGCCCAACGTATCGGGGTGCCAGTTTTTGTGAGGGAACACGGAGGCGTAGGTTGCGAGAAGACAGCCAGACCCTCTCTCCGACCTGATAGGTAGGAGCAGGAAGGCGTCTGCGGTCGGCCTGGAGTTTGTATTTCTGCATTGCGCGTTGCAAAGAGTTCTGAACCTGCACCCAAGTGGAACGGAGTTCCCTGAGATGTTCCTCCAATGCCGGTATCCCCTGTGGCAAAAACGTATCAGGCAACATGGACGGTTGAAACCCATAGTTCGCCAAGAATGGGGATAGCCGGGAAGAGGCATTAATCGCACTATTGTGGGCAAACTCCGCCCAGGGTAGCAGATCAGACCAGTTGTTCTGGTGGTCAGAAATGTAGCAACGCAGAAACTGTTCCAGTGTTTGGTTAGCTCGTTCTGCTGCACCATTGGATTGCGGGTGGTAGGCCGAGGAGAAGGAAAGCTGAATTCCCATTTGTGTACAAAAGGCTCTCCAAAATCTGGACACGAACTGGCTGCCCCTATCTGAGACTATCACTTTAGGTAACCCATGCAAACGAAAGACCTCCCGAGCAAAAATTGTTGCAAGTTCCTGGGAAGTAGGTAGTTTTTTCAAGGGAATGCAATGTGACATCTTCGAGAATCGGTCAACAACCATGAGAACGACTGTATTGCCATGGGAGACCGGAAGATCTACGATAAAATCCATGGACAAGTGGGTCCAGGGTCGTTCACCATTAGGTATTGTTTGCAGGAGACCCACTGGAGGGCGTCGTGGGGTTTTATTTTGAGCGCACACAGGACAGGCAGCTACAAAAGCGGTGACATCCGAACGGAGACTAGGCCACCAAAATTGCCGGGAGACGGACCAAATTAACTGGTTTTTGCCTGGATGTCCAGCTGCTTTGGAGTCGTGGTATGTACTTAATAGTTTAGTACGGAGGTTAATCGGTACAAAACAATGGCCATTAGGTTTCTCTGGAGGAGCATTAATTTGTGCAGCCAGAATCTCCTCGCCTAGGGGTGATGTGAGGCTAGTGCGGATGGTTGCCAGTATATGGTCCGGAGGAATCACAGGAGTAGGGGTTATCTCCTCTCTGGATGGAGGGGAGAACTGTCGAGACAAGGCATCAGCCCGAATGTTTTTAGTACCGGGCAAGTAAGAAACCACATAGTTGAATTTTGATAGGAAAAGAGCCCATCTAGCTTGCCGGGGGGAAAGCCGCTTAGCCTCGGAAAGATATGTAAGATTCTTGTGGTCTGTGAGGATGAGGATTGGCACTGAAGTACCTTCAAGAAGGTGCCTCCATTCTTTGAGAGCTAAAATTATGGCTAGAAGTTCTCTATCACCAATCTGGTAATTGCATTCCGCCGGGTTCAATTTCCTCGAGAAATACCCGCACGGATGCCTGGAGCTCTCAAGGTTAGGACGTTGAGACAGGAGGGCGCCTACTCCTGTCTCAGACGCATCGACTTCCAGAATGAATGGTAAGGCAGGGTTAGGGTGTGCCAGTATAGGAGCAGCAGCAAAGGCGACTTTGAGAGACTCAAAGGCAGTAATGGCTCCCTGTGACCAATGCTGTGGATCAGCATCTCTCCTGGTCATGTCCGTGAGAGGTTTAACCAAGGAAGAAAAGTTGCGTATGAACTTCTGATAATAATTGGCGAAGCCCAGAAAACGTTGTATAGAGCGAAGACCCGTAGGTCGAGGCCATTTTATTACAGCCGAAAGTTTCTCTGGATCCATAGAGAATCCAGCATCTGAGATAACATATCCCAAGAATGTGACCTGTTTGCAGTTAAACTCACATTTCTCCAATTTGCAGAACAGATTATTTTCTCTAAGTCTCTGTAGAACACGAGAAACGTCTGCGTGATGGTTCTCGAGAGATGTGGAATGGATAAGAATATCATCAAGATAAACCACCACACATTGCTGCAGCATATCTCGCAGGACGTCGTTTATAAATTCTTGGAAAACCGCCGGAGCATTGCAGAGACCAAAGGGCATTACTAGGTATTCGTAATGGCCGCTCCTGGTGTTAAATGCGGTTTTCCATTCGTGGTCCTTTTTTATCCGGACGAGATTATATGCCCCTCTCAGATCAAGTTTAGTGAAGACCGTTGCTCCCTTGAGGCGGTCAAATAACTCCGTGAACAATGGAATGGGGTAGGCATTCTTAATAGTAATGCGATTGAGACCCCTATAGTCGATACAGGGTCTCAACTCGCCATCTTTTCTTTTCACAAAGAAAAAGCCGGCCCCGGCAGGAGAAGATGACTTCCGAATAAATCCCTTAGCAAGTGCATCGGTAACATACTCCTCCATGGCTCGATTCTCTGCTACAGACAGTGGATAAATCCGGCCACGGGGAGGAATGGCACCAGGTTGGAGTTCGATACTACAGTCATACGGACGGTGCGGTGGCAGAACGCTGGCTTGACCTTTATCAAATACATCTTGGTATTCTTGGTACTCAGCGGGTAAGGAAGAGGCAGAACATGTGCCCAAAACTTTGACCGGTTTCTGGAGACAGGAAAATGTGCATTGCTGGGACCATGATAATATCTCAGCTTTGCGCCAATCAATTATGGGGTTATGCTTCTGAAACCAAGGGTATCCCAAAACAACCTGGTAATATGGAGAGGAAATGACCTGGAATTGGATCGTCTCATGATGTAGAGCCCCTACAGCCAGAGATATGGGCACGGTTTCTTGGGTCACGTGGGTTGGCTGTATTGGTCTGCCATCGATGGCTTCGAAGGCTAGTGGAAAGTCGCGAGGCTGTAAGGGTATAGAGTGCTTTGATGCAAATGCACAATCTATAAACAAGCCTGCGGCCCCAGAATCAAGAAATGCCCGAGTTTTAATGGATGAATCAGGCCAGGAGAGGATAATAGGCACCAAGGGTTTGCCCACATATATCTTTGGGTCTGCAGAAAGACCACCTAAGATCTGCCCCTGACAGTATCTTGGGTGCGGCCCTTTGCCGGACGAATCGGGCAAAACTTTAACATGTGACCGTGGTGTCCGCAGTATAGGCACAGGCCCTCCCTCCTCCTAAAGGCTCTCTCCTCAACCGAGAGGCGTGAGAAGCCTAACCGCCTTGGCTCCACACAGACAGAGGACTCAGGACCAGGAGGCATGGGAGGTGAGGGAGGTTTGGGTGGGCAAGAAAAGCTTGGTGCCAAATATACAGGAGGCCTCCGCAGACGCTCCCTGGATGAGGATCTCTCTCGGAGTCTGATGTCAATGAGGGTGACAACTGATATCAGTTCCTCGAGATCTTTAGGTAATTCTCTGGCTGCAATCTCA